TTACAAGTTAGCCTTTGAAATACAGGTACGCAGGCGCCCTTGAACCCCTTTTTTAAGTAATTAGTTGTGTCGTGGGTCTCTGGGACCGTGAGTAGATTTTTTTGCCGAGCTGGTATTGATTGGACTTGGGTTAACATGGGACTAACGGGATTCTCTGCCCTTAATATCTGGAGTAACACCTTGAGGTACCTTCAAAGACAAGAAGTTGGAGGGGGTTTGGGGGACTTTAAGCCCTCTTTTTAAACAGTTTAGAGAAAGGCGCCAGTATAAAAGCCGAAACGCAAAGCATGCCAATGACACCATCGACGTGTAAAAACAATAAAATTCTTAAAACTGCAATGTGAAACTGTAGGTGCAGTGGCACCGCATGGTAACAAGCCTAATAATGAATGTGGCAAAACCCTTATTCACACCAAGTTGAGAATGATAGATAGGAAACACAAGGAAATCGAACCAAAGCAATTCAGTCCAGAACATTGTACTCAATCCAAAAACTACGAACGGAACACTCGGAATGAGAACTAAATGGTAAGTCTACATAGCCCTCCAGTTACATGTAATCAAACATTACTTTGAAGGCACGGTAGCAAGAAGTCTTCATATCTTACAGGCAAAGGAGAGACCTTCCTTTTGTAGGATATCCAAATTTTCAACTGGAGGTTGGACCCTTGCAACTTTAGCAATGGCCTTGTTCTCGTCTGGAGAGCCACCCTCAAGGAAAGCTCCAACAATCTTCCCATCTTTGATCCAGTATGACCCAAACTTTGCTTTTGGTGATTCTGGATTGTTGTCTCCAAAAAGCACGGTGTCACCAACATTGTCACCATAGAATTGCCAAGACAGATCAAAGGAACGAGAATAGAAGTATGGAAGGTAGTCATATTCATCGGTTGATTTTCCTTCCTCACTTGCCTTGATTGCCTGCAAATAAACATCAAAGAATGTTACGAATTCCAATTGGACAAACAGTACATACCCTATCTTTACATTTATTAACCAAAAACATAGTTTGAATCACATACCCTCACTGCCTGTTCAGCTGATTTCCGGGCATGATCAACGTGTTCAACCCTTCTTACATCATTGTACAACTTCATTGGGAAAGTAGCTACATCCCCCACAGCATATACATCAGGAACACTTGTTTTGAAAAATGCATCAGTCTGCAGCAAGAAAAACAATCAAGTCATTACACATACAGATCTTGTTGAAAGCTTGCCTGCAATCATCAGCATTCTATTTAATTCAATCACATCCATCTATCATATGTATTATAGATACCATGGTACAAAGAAGAGTTCTGTTTCAACACACATATGGAAGACAAACAAAAATGTTGTGCAACATTTAGAATTCTGTCCTTACAATTTATAAAAGAAATACATTTAACATGATATCACTAATCAAACTAACCTTTATTCCACCCTTCTCCTCTTCAACCTGTCCTTTGAACAATGTCGTAAGAGGCCTTCCACCAACACCAACAACAACGATGTCAGCTTCCAGCACCCTTCCATCCTTAAGTTTGACTTCCTTAACCTGAAAAATTGGGAGCACAATGAACAATTTGTTGACACAGTAGTACCCATGACAATGCAAATAAAAACACCATACACTCTAATGGATGTTTACCTCTCCATTTGAATCGGAGGTAAATCCAACTGCAACTGTTCCCTTCACAATTTTGATTCCTTTCTTTGCATAGTAACCCTCATAGAATTCAGCAATACCAGCACTGAAAAGCCGGGGCACTACAAGAACACCATCTCAGTTACAAAACCTAATATATACTAACAACTTCATATATCATCAAATAAACAAAAAGGTTGACATATAATAGGTCTCAATTCTCCACTTACTGCACCATGGTTCTGGGTACACCATTGTAACATCAAAATTGTTAATTTTCATGACTGCACCAAGCTCAAGACCAATGTAGCCACCTCCAACAATAACTGCCTTTCCATTTTTCTTGGCTTTGATTGCCTCGACCAACTTATCAGCATCAGCAATTTCTCTCAAGTAGAATATGTTTTGGGCATCAGCTCCTTCTACACGAAAATCAGTCAACTTAATGACCTGCAGGATAGTAAGTGTTAAATTCTGGCTTGAAGTAAAGAAAATTTTTCAGGATATGTAGAAAGTAAATTGAGTAAAATACTTACAGTGGAACCAGTTGCAATCATTAAGATGTGGTATTTAAATATTTCTCCAGCTGCACTTATCAGAGTCTTTGCAGCAAGATCAGCTTTTACTATTTCTGTACTAAGGATCAATTCTATCCCTGCAAACATGAGAACATGGAATGCATGAAACTGCAGACCATCGTAAGACTCAAAATTTATAAAACCTAGAAAAAGAGGAGCACTAACCTTTCTCCTTGTACCACTCAGGAAGCAATCTCTCTCCACCACTTCCAACACATACATGGAAACCTGGAAGTCTTGCGGCTCCTGAAAAAAAACAGGTCACCAAGGGAGGTCAATCTGAGTTTGACCAGAACAATTTGAGCAAGTCAAAGTGTACTAGCATAGCAGATTGAAGGGAGCTTACCCTCAGGAAAGAGATATGCCTTGCTTAGGGCAGGACGTTCATATGGAGCCACCTATAGAGATAGGGATGCAAGAGCAATGTACCATACAACACAAGGTCATAATACAAAGTAAAACATTAAGTGCTAAATACTAGTACTTGTATGCTGGCTTCCACAAAATTGTTTATTGATTCACAACACTAAACTAAAAAAGAGTTTAAATTATTGGAATGGAGAAGTCCCTGTTCAGGAAGCACAAAGAGACAATTTCCTACCATACAGCTAAGCAACATAAACCAAGAGAAAAATATCCTTTCCATTTCCACAGACTTACTACCAATTAAATAATTTGATTTTACATATGCATAAAACTTTTTATCATTGTTTATTAAATGCATTCCATTCTTAAAGTTGGAAGGAGAAATTATGAACTAGACATATCACATGCTTGATCAAACATTGATTATGTTGGAAGTAGTGGAAAACATACCGCCTCTTTGGAAATAATTGCCAGTTCACAAGGCTTAACCCCCTGCTTGGCAAATTCCCTAGCAGCATATCCCTAAAAGGTCAAAAGAGAAAATTTCAGAAAAAGAAAGTAAAACAAAGTAGATTTATGATAAGTGACAGAAAATAAAAGCATGCTTGTAATTAATAAAACTGAAGCCATCTCACTTTTCATGTTCTAAGGTTTTAACTGAAATAGTCAGAGGTGTAGAAAGTGGTCGCTCAACAAGTATGATAGGAATGACAAATTTCAAAACCTTTGGCTAAAAAATGTGAAGTTATTGCTACAGTAGTCAGAGATTCTAAATTATTTTTATTTCTACATTACTTCTTATCCAAGACGACAACAATTGTAAAATGAAATCAAAACCACTCAAATGTTATTTTGCACTACACTCTAAACTATTTAAGCAGACAACAATGCATTAATTAAGTAATTCAGCAGGAACAAGTGTGGCACGCTAAAATAAAGAAGTAACCCCATACTTCACCCCTAAACTACCTTTTTTGCCTTTTCAACCTTGAAGTTATTTCTTATGGGTTTAAGTCCTTCAACTCCAGGACTTAAGGAATTGAGGCCAAAGATAAACTCCAGAACTGTTGGGCAACATTTCAGAAAAACTGATGTTCAGAAATTCTTTAAGAGCCAAAATTCCTTGAAATCCCAATTTTTAGAATCATTCCATGGTTTTTGGAAAATCAATTGGACAATTGTATAAAATGGATAAACCAGTTCGGTACTCTAGTTGTGAGAAACAATCAACCAGAATTTCATTACATCGACTTAACTTCATATTTTTCTGTTTAATGTTTTAACAATGCAAATGAAACTAGAGAAAACACCAACCCAGACAAATCACTGGAACAACCACCCCTACAACTACCAAAAAAATCCACCATATTACACAATTCCCATAACAGCAGATTAGCGACGAGTATACTACACGCAGATCATCAAAAATTGCACCACAAAATTTTCTAAATGTCAAATCCAGATGGAAGCTTTCACACTTTCAAGTAAAATTGGAGCCAAATTACATTAATCCTCCATCACTGAGCATAAATTTCTAGATCCACATCTGATCTACATATAATCGAATAAAACCGAATAAGAAAATTAATCGGAACAATAACAAAAATAATCCAATATCCTTCACTCAAGCTCAGGCCGGAAAGAACAGATTAAGCACGATTGTTCTCCGAATCATCGACCTGGAATAGAAACGAAGAACAAGAAAGAAAGAACTTACAGCGGCGACTCCACCGCCAAGGATCACGTACTTGAAACTCTTTTGCGCCATGAAAAGGATCGGAGAAATGGTCTGCTAAGTGCTAAGAAGGCTCTTTTGGATGACGTTTTCTTTTTCTCTTTCCCCTTTATTTTGGAGAGCATTTATGGCGATTTTTCTAGCGCCATGGGTACAATTTTTTTATTATTTTTATATAATTTTTATATATTATTAAATAAATATATATTTAATATTGCGCCATGAAAAGGATCGGAGAAATGGTCTGCTAA